GCACATGGGAACACATGACCAACAGGAGCCACAGACATACCGGGCTGTCAGTCCAACACACACCCGCACACACACACACACAGGGGATGGCACACCCCCCCACGCACACATATACAGACAATATGCCGAGAGCCCTGCACAGAACCAGCCCCACACTGTCTTTCTTACACACACACACACACACACACACACACACCCCGTCTAGTTCCACCTACACAAGGGCCAACAGGACCAGACCCCCCAGGTGTCTGTCTCTCCAGCACACTCTCTCTCTCTCTCTCTCTCTCTCACACACACACACACACACACACATCCTGCACACACCTGCTGCACACCCACGAGCAACTGCACTCAGGACCCGGCTGGCTGCTTCCTCTACCTTCCTTCACGGGCTCCCTGCCTCCCACGAGCCTGTGCTCATATCCCAGCTTCTCTAGAGGCCTCCCTGACCAACCACCCCCTGCAGACCCGGCCTTTTCTACAAGGCATTGCTGCTTTCTCCGCTTCTCCCATACTGGGAAAGTGCTCACTGTCCGTGACTGTCAGCCACGCGATAAGGGGCCCTTGGTCCATTCTGTCCGCTGCTGTGTCCCCAGAGCAGGGCGGCATGTGTTTGCTGTGTTGTTGAAACAAATCAACAGGAAAAGCCCGACAGCCTGACCCAACCTTCTCTTTCTCCCTTATACGCGCATGCACACACGTGACCTCTCACAGGCAGCAGACTCCTGGTGGGTAAAGGAGCTCACTTCTTCTTCCAGGAGTCCAAAACTGAGCCCACCAAGAAGGGAGGAGTGGAAGGTGAGTGGACAGAGAAGAGACCAAGTGGGCCGAACACTGTTGATCACTGATGGTGTGCAAGGAGAGAAAGAGTGACAGGCGCACGCGCACACACACAGCACGGGGGGTAGGGGAGGGCATTCTGCGGCGGGGGCAGCGGTTAGGTCAATGGTGCAGACGTCCAAGCGACGATGATAAAAAGGCTGGTACCTGCTCGTTGGGACGGGGCAGGAGCAGGGCTTAGAGTGATCACAATAACTGGATGGGGAAAAGGAAGAAAAAAAAAACAACACCACGATAAATCACAACAGAAACAACTGATTTGTTCAAAAGAAAAGAAATCAAATCATAATGAGGAAGAGGGGGAGGCACGAGGCTCCAAACTGCAGAGATGGGTAGAAACTGACAGAAATGGGAGGACCGGGAGGATGGATGGAGCTGACACAGACACAGATGCCTGGAGGGGGCATCCTCAGGGACCTGCCCGCCATGGGCCTCACCGTGCCTCACTCTGCACCTGGGACAGCCACCCCATAAGGGACCCCTGGCCCCATACCCAGCCCTGTCTCGTCCGTGCTGGGGCTAGCGGAGGCAGCACTGCAGAGCCCAGTAGGGACCCTCCAGTCCTGGGAGGGCTTTTTGCCCCAGGGAGGAGCCCACACTATTACCCCAAGTCAGAAGAGGGAAGGATAAGGAGAGGACCACACACAGGGGTTGGGGACGGTCAGGCTGGGTGAGCAGGGAATGACTGCAATGCCCTGATGTGTGGGGGGGTGCCCCCTCCTACCCGGACGACTCCTTGGGAGCTATATAAGCTACAAGGATCGTATCAGAAGAAGCACAAAGGAGGCCAATTTGCCAGCTCGAGAGACACAAAGTGTGTGGTGGGGTGCCATTCATCAGGTGTGTGGGGAGGGTGAAGATCTGACGCCCTCTAGCTGGGGGATTTGGGGGGGGGCGTCCTGTGGGACATAACAAAGAAGGCAGACTGGCTGCAGGCCAGGTGCCAGTGTTGGGGGAAGGAGCAGCAGCTTTTGAATCCAGATGGTAAGATGCCAGGGAGGTGGTCACAGAGAAAGCAGGATCGGAGACAAGGGGTACGTGGACTGGGAGACCGAGTTATCACACACTCGCCTCGGGTATCCTTAGGCTATGTGAGTGTGGGTGTACAGGGAAGAGGGAGTCACTGGAGTCCAGGTGATGAAAAGCTGCCAGGCTGGGGGTTGGGTGTGTAATTTTGGAGAAGCTAGAACAGTCCCCAAGACAGCGGCAATGAAACCAATCAGAAGAGTCTGAGGGTGCCTGGTATATGTGGGTAGGGTGTGCACGGGACGGGGTCTGCTAGGCCCAATGACAAGGGCCCAGCCTGGGAAAAAGGGATTCCCAGACACAGCCACCGGGAAGGAGTTCGGAGGAATAGGGAATTATATGTGGTCATATGACCTCAGGGGTCACCCGGGCCGGGTGTGCGTGTGTGTGTGTGAGTGGATCCTCCACGGAACCATATGACAAGAACCCAGGTGCGGAAGAGGGAAAGGGGCCTCCAGCCCAGCACTGAGATGGCAGTAGCGAAATCATCTGGTCGGCGGAGGTGTCCGTGTTTGCCGGGAATCTGGATGTGGTCACGGTCGCGTGGATTAGGGGGAGCCGCGGCGCCGGGTAGGTGACGGGGACACAGGCTCCGAGGATCACGGTGAGGGAGCGGGTCATCAGATGGTGGGGGGTCTTGTCCCGGGACCGGGTAACTGGGCTCGTAGGCCCCGTAAGGGGAAACCCCTACGTTGGGGGAGGGCAGCCCGGGAGCCCGCAGCCCCACGCCCCCCGGGTCACCGTGACCCTCTCCCCGCGAACCGACAGCAGGGGGTATGGGGCGGAGAGGAGGAGGAGCAAGAGCGCCCCGGAAGCGGGGGCGGGGCCTGACGGCGGGGGCGGGGCTTCCCGCGGCGCGCGCCCCGCCCCGCCCGCCCCCTCCCCCACGCCGCCGTGCTTACTGGGCCTGGGCCGCTGGGGGCTGATATCCAGGTTGAGGTCGATCCTCCGCCGGGCCTCGCGGTTCTCCTGCTTCAGCTTTGCTTCCAGGCGGGACAGCTTCTGCTCCAGGGAGGACGCCGCCATCTTCCCCGCCGCCGCCGCGCACCGCCCGGCCGCCCGTCAGTCCGGCAGACAAACACCGCACTGCGCCTGCGCCTGGATGACCCCGCTGAGCCGCCGTCTCTCCCTGCATGGCGCATGCCCGCGGCGCGCGCTCGCCCATCCCTCGTACCTAACCTCTGAGCATGCGTGTTCTTCCCAGCCGGAGAGCTGACGCCACCTAGAGCTCGCGTCTGGCAACGTGCAACGCCTCTCACCGTGAAGCGCACGCGCCGATTCCGAGCACACTCTCGGGAGGCGCTGTGTTGAAATCCATTCACACTGTTTTGCAGAGAAAGGCGGGCGGGGGGGCGGGGGGGGCGGTGCGCCTGCGTACGGAGGGGGCAGACGCGATCCCTCGCGTGGCCTTTTCTACGCATGCGCAAGCTTGGCTCGCTTTTCTGCCCCTGTTCCGGGCAGTAGCTTACTGCTGTTGTGTCCTCCCCAGCGTTGTTTTTGCTCTTCCCGCCCGGCCTGTTCGCTGGCACCCACGCTCCCTCACAACTGCCTTTCTCGTCTGGGACAGTGCTTCATTAGGATCTCTGTTAGGCTTAATTGCTGCCTTCTCACCATAATTAGGCGCCCGTGGGGAGCCCTTTCTATTTCAGCAAGCTCGGGGTTGGACAAGGACGGGCGGGGTAGGGCTCAGTCACTGTAGGGTCTCTAGGACCAGCGGCATGACCCCTGATCTCGACGACAGGGCCAGGGTCATGGCCAGAGTTCCAGGTCAGACCCAAATGGGATATTTCAAGACTTTCCCTCTTCTTCCAGCCCCGGAATGAGAACCCTGCTCCTGGACAATGCAGAAAATGGGCCTTGGTGTTAATGCGCCTCAGCCTGTCTTCCCCGAGGCTTAACTGGTCTGATGGGTGCCTGGGAAAATGTCCCCAACTGGAATCCTGGTTTTCGGAAAGCAGCTTGCCTCTGCTCTCAGTTGCCAGGAAGAGGCTTATATTTTGCATACACCTCGTAGTGCCCAGTCCCAGGAGGTCAGGGTCAGGCGGCCTGTCCCATATGCCCCCACGTACTCCTGGTCCAGCACAGGAACACTGGTGGGCGATGAAGGCTTGTGGGAACTCCTGTGGTGACAACTGACGGGTGAAACAGGTACAAGAGAGTGGAGTCTGGAGAACTAACAGATAATGTAGAAGAAAAGGGGTTCTCCAGAAAAAAAGGTAGGCAGGGGATGCCACCTAATTTTTCCTGGCAAGCCAAGATCTCTCTGCCTCTGCTTCCAGGACAGAGAAACTCATACCCTTGATGCTGGCAGGTGAGTGTCACTGCTTGCCTATAACTGGTCTGGTGAAATGGAAGGCTTAGACAACAGAAATGGATACCAGAGATCAGAAGTTTAGTTCTCATAATTCGTATTATTTATTAAGCATTCTCTGATAGATGTTCCCTCATACAGGGAGTATTTGAAAGACAAGTTCCTGCCTGTGCTCAGAAGAATGTAACCTCCATCGCCGGCGTTCTGAACCCTGGAGTCTGCCATCCTTCGGATGTCCATGAATGGCCCTCTGGGACGTCTGGGGGAATCTGCTGCCTGCCTCAAGTCGCTTGCGGAACTTTGCGTGTATGTGTACCTGAGCATTTTCCTGGGAAAGGAGGTGCCCAGCTTTTATCAGATGTTTAAAAAGTCTAGGACTTAAAAAGGGTTCAAAATCCCTGCACTGGACATCCAGATTCTGGGGGTCCACAATTCCCAACATACAGACCTAGGACCACCTTCATTAGAATTACCTGGGATGCTTACTGACAGTTAGGTTCCTGGTCTCCAGCCAGACCTGAGTCATTCTTTCAGGGGTGGGGCCCAAGATGTTTTGTTTTGGGGATGTTGATTTTGATGCGTAGCCAAACGTGAGAACCATTTTTCTGAGTGCACGTGTACGTAGCAAACAACTTATAAATAAGGGATTGGCATTAAAGCTGGGGGTGAGGGTCGCCGGTCTCCTGTGTCTGTGTCCCCTCCTTGGGAGAGAACCCCAGATAGAAGCTGTTTTGGTCCAGGGTGGGGGGAGGGTTGAAATCCCATTGGGATGTGCCGTACCCCCTTATATGGCACTAATTGAGATAGAATGTCCATGGGCGGGGCAGGCCAGCCAGCCAGCCAAAGACACAGGTGTGGTTTTAGTCTGAGAATCCAAGGACTGAGTTAATCCCTCTCTGACGTTCCACCCCAAATCTACGGCCTCCCGTCTCTTCTCAGACCAGCCCCAGGATTCTGCCTGGACCCCACGAGGCTGACGTGTCTGCTCCTCCTCTCTTGGCCCGGGCCCTCTTGGCCACCTCTCTTGAAGACAGCAGCATAGACTCTGGCGTGGAAGTATCCAGAAGGCCTCTACCCCAACCTTGCCCACCTCTGCTTCATTCCTCCTCCAGTTTCTCCCGCACCTCTGCCGGCAGGCCCTCGTAAAGGGCGTCCTCTACCACGAGCCCCACTTTCTTGAGCCCCACGCAGTTGCCAAGCTCTTCTGGCAGCGCCTCCAAGCGGTTGCCCCTGAGCTCCAGGCGCCCGAGGGCTCTGAGGGCCCCCACCTGGGGTGAGAGCTGGCTCAGGTGGTTGTAGCCCAGGAGCAGCGTCCGCAGCTTGCGGCAGAAGAAGAGCTCGTCAGGCAGGGCCTCCAGGGCATTGTAGGACAGAGCGAGGTGCTGCAGGTTCTGGAGGAGGCCCAGCTCGGGGGGCAGGGAGCGCAGCCCATTGTGGGAGATGTCCAGCAGGCGGAGGCCGCAGCACATGCCCAGCTGGCTGGGCAGGGTCTCCAGCTTGTTGTGGCTGAGGTAGAGCTGCTCGAGCCCCCGGAGCTTCCGCACGTGCTCGGGGACATAGGCGATCTGGTTGTGCCACAGCCTGAGCGTGACCAGCTTGCGACAGTGCTGGAAGCTGAGGATCTCCTCGATGGACCGCAGGTGGTTGTCCTTGAGGTCTAGTTCCTGCAGCGCGCCCAGGCTGAAGATGGCGTGGGGGATGCGCTCCAGCCCGCAGGCCACGAGCTCCAGCTCCCGCAGTGCCGCCAGCTTCTTGAGGCTGTTAAGGGCCAGCAGGCGGGCCCCATCGTTGTGCAGGCTGAGCCGCTGCAGATGGCCGGCCACGTCCGTCACGCTGGCGGGCACCTTGCCGGCGTTGCTCCGCAGAGACAGCACCTTGAGCTGCTTCAGCTCCCGGAGGCTCTCGAGGGTCGCCGCCCGAGCCAGCTCTGGGGGGAAGAGCCCCTCAAGGTGCAGCTCCTCCAGGCCCCGCAGCCCAAACACCCACAGGGGCACCTCGCGGAGCTCCTCGCACTTGACTCGGATGACCTTGAGGCGGTCCCGCAGAAAAACCTGCAAGGAGAAGGGCAACCTGGCCGGCGAGTGCAGCAGACTGAGCTCCTGCAGGCCCACCAGCTGCGAGAGGCCCGGGGGGAACGTGATGTCGCAGATGGCCTCCAGCCGCAGCGCCTCCAACTCGCTGAGCTCGAAGACGGTGTCGGGCAGCCCCGGGAGCATGCAGAGGGCCAGCTCGAGCCGGCCGCGGGCGTTGCGCTGCAGCTTCTGCCGAAGCTTCTCAGGCGTCCACTCGTGGTTCAGGTTGAGTTGCTTCAGGCGGCTCTCGCTGACCTCGGAGAGGAAGACGGCGAAGCGCTTGGAGTAGAGCGAGTCATACTGGTCGATGAGGTGGAGCATGAAAGCGAAGTCATTCTTGACGTCCGGTATGTCCCCCATGCCGGTCTCCTCCCGCACCGAGCGGAAGGAGTACTCCTTGAGGGGCCGGTGGAAAAGCCAGTAGAGGGTGTAGAGACAGGTCAGCCCGTAGACGCACACAAAGGAGATGTAGCAGAACGCCAGCTTGGAGAAGAGGTGGGCCTTGGTGTGGTTGCAGCAGAAGCTGGCGTAGCCTGTCACCTCCGAGGTCTCTACCCTGCAGGCCACCAGGAAACTGATCTTCTCCACGTAGACCAGGTTGTAGACCAGGATGGCGAAGAACTTGCAGACCTTGAGCACCGTCTGCCGGATGTACATGGTGTACAAGATGTCGCCCTCCTCCACGTGCACGCGGAACTTCTTGACCTTCTCAAACAGCGCCTTGGCCTGTTCGCCCTCCTTCTTGTCCAGCAGGGTGACGGCCGGTGGCTCTGTCACCACCTTCTCAGGCTCCATCAGCACCTTTTCCTTCTCACCCTCACTTGCCTTTCCTGGCCCCGAGGACGCTTCCACGGTCGCCGTTGCCCGTCCCGCAGCGGGGCCCTTGTGGTTGTCCCCAGAGACCTCGGACAGGGCCCGCGTGGTCCACGGCGAGTCAAAACACTTGCCCAGAATGGAGATGAAGTGCTCGATCTTGGAACTCGTGCCGGGGAACTTGAACCAGAAGCTGGTGCAGACCATGAAGATGAGTGTGTGGATGACGACCAGGTAGGGGAAGTACTTGGCGTACCAGTGGAGGGCGGTCTCGTAGCACAGCTGGTTGATGAAGCTGTACTGCTGGAGGTCCAAGTTGTTCTTGAGGCCGCTGACCTCCCGGAGGCCCCCCATCTGCTCGGAGACGCCGCGTGGCAGCAGCTGCTGGCATGGGGCTTCTGATAAATTCTCTCGGAGTTCGTGACTGGGCAGACAGATGATCTTGTCCTGTGTCACCTGGGAATGAGGTGAGGGAAGAGGGTCAAGGAGCTGGGTCGGCTGGGATAGCCTGGGGGCAGGAGGGGGGAGGTGGGGGGAAAGGCGAGCTGAAGGTGGGAGGAGGCCCCAGGCCCTGACTGTCCCCAGCTGGCTGTGATTTTGGAAGAGTCGCTAAGCCTCTGAAAGCACCTCAGTCTTTGAAAAAAGGAGTTCGGTTGAATGTGATGCTCGGGCTCTCCCCCTCTGCCCCAGCAAAAGATCCTGAAGTCCTAACCCTTAATACCTGTGACTAGATCGTCTTTGCAGAGCACACGCGATCAAGTTAAGGTGAGGTCATTAAGGTGGGCCTTAGTCCTTTGGACAAAGACACATGCACAGGGAATAGGAGCGACTGGCATCTATACACCAAGGAATGCCGGAGGCCACCGGAGAGCTGGGAAGGAGAGAGGCAGGGAACGCATGCTCCCTCTCCCTCACAGCCAGCGGAAGGAAACAACCCCTTAACACTTTGATGTCCCCCTTCCAGGCTCCAGAACTGTGGCACAACCGCAGGAAGACTTCCGGAATCCCCCGGCCCCGCCCCCTCCAGGCCCCGCCCCGCTCCGGCGGTGCGCCTCACCTGCAGAGTGCAGCCGAAGACCCCGATCATGAGCATAGCCACCGTGAGGTACTCGGCCAGCACGTCCCACCAGGGCTTGAGCACCTTGAAGGCGGGCTGCTGCTCCGTGAACTGCTTGAACTCGGCCACCGGAATCATCTTTCCTGCGGGGGAGGGGCAGGCAGGGGTTGCAGAGACCCTCAAGACGGGGGCGCCTGGTCGTGGGTCGCCAGCGAGCTGGACACCTGCCTCTGCTCCCAGTTTGCCTTCTCGTTTGCCTCAGCCTGGCAGAGCGCACGAGCTGTGTGCCCCCTCCCCTCTGCCCCAGACCTCACCTCCTTCCTGGAGCCAAGCTACTACTGTTCTCCCCACTTCTGCTCCCTGGGATCCCTGCTCCCATTTGACGCTGCTGGCCCTTTCAGAGGTCAGGACCGGCAGTCCACAGGGCCGCTGTCCCCCAGCTGGCCCGTGTGGCTCTCTCCCAGAACGCAGCCACCACCCACCCTCAATGCAGAGACCAAAACGCTCGCTCTGCGGCTCTGACTCCAGACACCTAGTCCCAGCTCTCTCTGCCACTGGGCCAGAGCGTGTCTGAGGCAGGCTCAGGACTTCCGGGTGTGGGCCCCCCACCCCCTTCAGGGGCGCTCCAGGCACCACCTCCAACCTCCAACTGGAAAAGCCGGCTGGAGTCTGGCTCTGGTTACAGGGCCCGAGGAGCAGGGAGTGGCAAAACCGAAGGCTGGTCAGTTAGGGGGAGGGAGCACTAGGACACCTGGGTTTCTACAGGGGTTGGTGCCCAGAATCTGAGGCAGAAAACAGAAACCTGGGTAGGGGGTGCCAGGATGCCTGGAGGGCAGAGAATCAGGAAATGGAAAACACAGGGAGAAGCCAGAGTGACACCTACGGCCCGGACTGGGGCTGGGCGGCTGGCCCACTCTGTCTGTCCCTGGGTTTCATTTTAGACCAAGGTATCATTATTTCAGATACGGACGGCCAGGAGCAAGTCACATGGGGGCGTGGGCCACAAGCTGGGACATCACCCTCCCAAGCAGGAAGCGGGGGAGCCCGCCTCCCACAGGGAGCCTCCCTACCCAGCTCCCTGAGGCTGGACGGAAGGAAAGGGAGGCAGCAAGACCTGCACTGCTTCCCAGGGGGCTCCGAGGCTGGACTGCCCCTCCTAGCATCCGTGCTCCTCTACCCTGCCAGTTTTCCCACATGGGGTTCCTGGAGACTGGGTAAGGAAAGGAGGCATCTGGGCCATCAATGGGTCCCCCAGTCTCCCACCCATTTCCTAGGCGAGGGGAACCTGGCCTTGGCCCACACCTCAGTCAATTACTTGACACTCCCCTCCCACCCTCCCTTTTTTTGGTCCCCAGGTCAGTGAGGCCTTGGGTTGGCTCCTGGGTGGGGTTGGGGTGGAGGTGGGCAAGGATACAGGATGCGGGTTCTGCCCACCAGGCAGAGGGCTGAGGGCGGGGCAGTCCACCACACCTTCTAATCCCATCAGAGGCCCTCACTGCAGGGCCCCCTGACTCAGGCCCTGACTCACCCCAACCGGGCACGCAGACAGGGATGCTCAGACAGAACTGAGGCTCCCTCCCACAGTGCCCCATCCTTCACTCTCACTGTGACACCCGGTCCTAAAAGGAAAACTGTGTGTATCAGTCCAGTCCCTGGGGAATCTTAAACACGTGGGGCTCATGCCCGGGGAGCCCAATGTACACGGTAGCCATCCAAGGGGACACCTGGGGGCATTCTGGAGTGTGTGTCTGGATGTACACACTGAGCTGAGGGGAGACCTGGGAGCCAGCTGCTGTTTTCCCCGCCCTGGGGACCTGTCCCTGTGAGGGACCCCACTCCACTGTTCAACCTAAGGAGAGCACTTCTGGGGGCTGTGACAAAAATACATGGGCAGAGACCAACTTCCTGCCTGCATCCATCTCGCCTGGCCAGGAGCTCTAGCGCCCACCATGCCAGGACTGCAATCAAAGGCAACAAGGCAGAGACACCCAGGGTCCCCAGTGGAAGGCCCCGTGGCTCTCACGGAACAAGGTATACATAACACAACACCATCGGAGGCAGACATGGGGGTTATCATTATCTGTCTCCATGACTCAAACTGGATGGCCCAAACCTGCCATTAAGCTTCTACAGACACAAGACGGGCCCCCCCCCCCACTTTGTCTGAGCTGGGCTCGGGGCGGGGGGAGGGCCCCAGGGCGGAGGGCTTGAGGGAAGGGGAGTCCGGAGGAAAACAGCCACTGGGCCACACGCTCCTTATGGCCACCAGATGCTTCCAGGACCTCCTTTCATCCCAACTCTCGGAGGGAGGGTGCTGCAACCGTCATTTTCCAGACTCTCGAGGGAAATAACCAGCTGGAGGTTTCACAGCTACCAGTGGTATTTAAGGCGTAACCCCCAAGTCTCATCTGCCTGGTAGCATCCCCCCACCCCACACACACACCGCCCCGGACTCTCCTGGGTGAGAGCCTCTGCTGAGATGCCACCGTGTTTTCTCCAGGAGACCCTCAGAGGGGAGCTCCAGCATAGGGCAGATGGGCGGTCGGCGGCTGCTCGGCGAGCCAGGCTGGAGGGTCCTGGTCCACCTAACCACCAGGCCCAGCCCAAGCCCCACCCATCCATACCTCACCCCTGCTTCTGCTCTCTCAGGCCCTTCCTGGAGCTCCCAGCTGGCCTCCCAAAACAGGGCACTGGTGGGTGCTCCTGGTCCCGGCCACCCCTCACCCACAGCCCATGCTAATGGGCAGGGAAAACACAGTGATAGTTGTCAGCCCTGAAACAGGCTTTGGAACACACGGGTCCAATCTTTGACTTTTACACAAGAGAGAAACCGAGAGGGAAAGAAAGTGCGAGAAACTGAGGTGGGGGCGGGGGGCCCTTAGTAGAAGATCTTGGGCCAGGCCCTGGCTTGGGGACTCCCAACCTAGTATGTTTCCAAGCCGCACAGCCAGGACTTGGGAGCTGAGGGAGTCTTGAGGTTTAAGAGTTCTGGATGGGACAACCTGGAAAGGACCCCAAGGGGTAAGGTTCTGGGGGCACTGAGGGGTTCGCAGATGTGAGTTGTCGCTGTCTTTTTCCCCCAGCAGGCAAGGAGAGGGGAAAGGGATCAAGACCCCGGGGGGGGGGTCCCCCATCCTGCTGATCTTTGTTCCGTCCTAGCCCAGACCCCCCATCCCCACCCCCACCCCGCTCCCTGACAGGCGCCCTCGGGCTGCCGAGGGCCGAGTCTCTCGCCGCCCCCACCCCCTCCCCAGTTCATTGTGCGCCCCAGCGGGCCGCGAGCTCGGGCGCCAGTGTCAGCGGCACCTGGGGCGGTCCTCACGTGGGCCAGACCCACGCCCCGCCACCCCGTCCCCGGGGACAGACAGCCATCTACTCACCGCTCCGGCTGGGACGCTGGGCCCAACTCCTGGGTCCCTGGGAGCGGAGCGGCCGGGACTCCCGCAGAGTTCCCCGGCCAGCCTGGGTGAGTCAGGGCGGGCGGGCGGGCGGGACAGGAGCCCGGGAGCCGCCCCGCCTGCCCGCCCCGTGGACGGCCCGGCCCCGCCTCTCTTTGGGCCCTCCCAGGTCGCCCCCAACTCCCCGCGCGGAGGGGTTGCGGGGGGAGGGCAGTCGTACCCCTGCTCTCCCTGCGGTGGGTGAGGGGCGGGCCGGAGGAGTGGGGTCTTAGACCTTTGGCTCAGGCTGCAGTCGGGGAAACTGAGGGTCCCGGAGGCACTGCGCTCCCAGAACCAGCCTCGGGGCCTCCTTCCAGGATCCAGGCTGCATAGACCCTGTCAGGAACAGGTGACGAGCCTCCCCACCCCCACTCCCTCCCCCAGGTGTAGCCACCTTCAGACAGAGCCAAGGCACCAGTGAACAGAGTCCAGGGAACCGAAGGGGGTTTCCCTTTTCCTACTCTGAGCACCCGGCCAAAGGAAGCTGAGCAGAGTGGGGGCGCTTCTTGGTCTGACCCTGCCCAGCCTTGAGATCTGCTCTGGACTTCTCCCGGAGGGGTAGGAGCAAGCTGCCCTCAGGTCTGGGGTAGGGTGGGGGGTGCGGTGCCAGGAAGCACAGGGGCCAGAGGGCTCTGAGATCCCAGGCTTGAGGGCAGCCTGGGAGGCCAGCTTCTAGAAAGGATGATTGCCTCCCCACCCCCACTCAGTCCTCCCCAGCCGAGGAGGCCTATGCTGGGTCTTAGAGTCAGAAAGCACCCAATTCAGCCTGAAGGCCTCTGATGAACCTTGATCGCTTCTATCTGTAAACCTCAAGGGAGGGGGACCTTGACGAAAGGGAGAATGAGATCCCTCCCCTGCGGGAAGAAGAAGCCCATGAGTCCACTAGACCCAAGATAGCCAGACACTCCAAACCTTGAGGATGGGGACCCCCCCCCTCCGCTTAGGTTCCTCTGTGAAGCCTTGCGATTGGCATGACCCTGGGAGGCACAACTTCTCCAAAGGTCTGTGAGCTCCCCCATGGGCAGCCCCAATATAGACGTTCATTGTGAGGCCAAGATAAGCAAGGCCCCGTTCTCTCTCAGAGCTTCTGCCGGAGCAGGGGCAGCCAACACAGAGGTAAGCATACAGACAGGCCCAGGAATGAGATCTCCGTCTGGGACAAGTGCTGTGCATGTCACTAAGCAGGGTGAGGTGGGTGAAAAAGGCCAAGGGCCACTTTGGGGCATTTGAGATGGAGTCATTTCTCTCTCTCCTTCACCCCTTCCTGCCCAGGAGTAGCTCCTTGGATCCATGTCCTGGGGGTGGGGGTGGTGTTTAAAGCTTTATGTTGAAGTGAGCATCCTTTTTATTTTTTTTTAAGATTTTATTTATTTATTTGACAGAGAGAGAGAGAGAGAACACAAGTAGGCAGAGAGGCAGGCAGAGAGGGAGAGGAGGAAGCAGGCTCCCTGCTGAGCAGAGAGCCTGATGCGGGGCTCGATTCCAGGACCCTGAGATCATGACCTGAGCCCAAGGCAGAGGCTTTAACCCACTGAACCACCCAGGTGCCCCTGGAGTGAGCATCCTTAAAAAAAAAAAACAAAAACCACTTTATTTATTTGAGAGAGAGCGTGCGCACATGCACATAAGAGCATGGGGAGTAGCACAGGGAAAGGGAGAAGCAGACTCTCTGCGGAGCAGGGAGCCCAACACAGGGCTCCATCCCAGGACCCTGGGATCATGACCCGAGCTGAAGGCAGACCCTTAACGGACTGAGCCTCCCACACGCCCCTGGAGTGAGCATCCTGACACACCTTGCTTTACACCCTTGTATGAATCTCTGAGGTCACTGGGATAGAAGCCCTAGGACCCTAGCACATGAGCTTCCTGCTCCCCGCTGGGTCCCCAACACTTGGCACAGTGCCTGGCACCCTGTGGGGCTTCGGTAAATGATGGGTGGGTGGAGGATGGAGGTGTTGTCTCAGTTCAGACGCCTCTAGGTGCAGACCCTGAGACAAGGAATCGGACTCCAGTGGTCTCCCTGGAAAGTGATCTCAGGAAGCACTGAAGTGGGGCGATGGGGAGGGGAGACCGGCAAAGGAAGGAGAGGTCAGTAAGTATTAACAATGGCACACGAATGAGGGCAAATGAACAGGTGCACAGGCATCTAGGGCTCTCTTCTGCTGGGGAGCTCTGGGAGATAGTGCAGGACCTACCTCCACGTGGTCCCACCCAAGAGCCGAAGTGTTGATGCACCAGCTCCTGTCAGGCTCAGAGCTGCTCTGGGGAAGGGGGATAGAGAGGGTATTAACTCCCTGGCACTTTGGACTTTCTGCCCAGGTGGGGACTGTGGGTGCTCAGATGATACAGAGGAGTTTATTTATTTTTTTTAAAAGATTTTATTTATTTATTTGACAGACAGAGAACGCAAGTAGGCAGAGAGGCAGGCAGAGAGAGAGAGAGAGAGGCAGTCTCTGCACTGAGCAGAGAGCCTGATGCGGGGCTCGATCCCAGGACCCTGGGATCATGACCTGAGCCAAAGGCAGAGGCTTTAACCCACTGAACCACCCAGGCACCGCAATACAGAGGAGTTTAGTCGCCGGAGTAGAATGGCTGTCACAGGACACGCATACTCACTATGCTTTCACATAGTCTCTCACTATGAAAGACTGCCGACTTTACATTCCCATTGGTCCCGCATGAGTTTTTCCACATTGATAATAACCAGCCTTTAAAAAAAAAAAAAATCAAGGTAAAACACTGTAACATAGAACCCACCATTGTAACCATTGTTAAGTACGTTCCCCTTGTCCTGAAACCATCACCACCGTCCGTCTCCGGAGCACTTTCCATTTGGCAAAAACTGAGACTCTGTCCCCATGAAACATTAACTCCTCTTCCCCCCACCCCAGCCCCTGGCTTCCACCATCTACTGTGTCTTTATGAGTCTGATTCTTCTAGAGATCTCATATAATTGGAATCATACAGTATGTGTCCTTTTGTGACTGGCTTACATCACTGAGTACAATGTCCTCAAGGTCGATCTGCATTGTAGCAGGTGTTAGGATGTCCTTCTTTTTTAACGCTGAGAAATATCTCATTGTGGATGTACCACGTTCTGTTCATTCATTCATCCATGAAGGGGTACCTCGCCATTGTGGTTCATGCTGCCATGAACATAGTTGGGTTCAGACCTGTTTCTTTTTTTCTTTTCTTTTCTTTCCTTTTCTCTCTCTCTCTCTTTCTTCTTTCAATTCTTTTGGGTGGGATTGCTGGATCATATGATACTTTTTTTAAGATTTTATTTATTTATTTGACAGACAGAGATCACAAGTAGGCAGAGAGGCAGGTAGAGACAGAGAGAGGAGGAAGCAGGCTCCCCGCTGAGTAGAGAGCCCGATGTGGGGTTTGATCCCAGGACCCTGGGATCATGACCTGAGCTGAAGGCAGAGGCTTTAACCCACTGAGCCACCCAGGCGCCCCCATATGATACTTCTTTAATTGTTTCCTTTTGTGAGGAACCGCCATACTGTTTTCCACAGCGGTTCCCTCATTTTGTACTCCCACCAACGGTGCACCAGCCTTCCTATTTCTTCACATCCTCACCAACTCTTGGTATTAAATATCCAACTTTTTAGGTTTTGTGAACATGAGGTGGTTTTCTACCTACCCCCCCATCCTAGCAGCTTAAAAGCACTTGCATTTATTGTCCCACAGGATTTCGGAGGCTCAGGAGTCTGAGACTGGCTACAGTGGGTCGTTCAACAGTCTCCCTCCTCCACCAGCACCGGCTACCACTGCTTTGCTTTCTGTCACTATAGATTAGCTTGCCTTTTCTGGAGTGTTATATAAATGGAATCAGGCAGTGCATGATGTATGTGTATGCGTGTGTGTGGGGGGGGGTTCTTTTGTTCGGGAGAATGTTTTTGAGATGTGTCCCTGTTTTGAGTGTCTGGGTAGTCTGTTGTTTTTTCTTGCTGAGGACCATTCCACCGTAAGGCATACTTTGTTTTGTATAATCCATCCCCGTTGATGGACGTTTGGAGTGTTCTTAAAAGAGGGCAGAGTCCAGATCCCAATGGAAGGCAGGATGGATTCAGAGTAGCCTTGGAGGGATCTTGCCCTGTACAAGGTAGGAGGCAGATATCTGGGTGGGTGGCTGTGACTCACCCAGAAGGGCACTGCTGGTGAGGGGGCGGGTGGGCTGGCGGAGGGACCAGGCTGCTGTCGTGCCAGAAGGGGCTCACAGAGGTGATGCTCGGGAAGACTTGGGGGCAGGAGGCGGGGTCTAGAATGGTCTGATCTAGAGGGCAGTGCCCCGAGGAATGGTGAGGGGACACTCCCGCAGTCTGGAGGATGGTTTTCCTTGAAAGAAGAGCTACTGCAGAGTTCCGACCTTGCTCTCTTCCATTCCCTGACCCTCAGTGGTGAGCACAACTAATGTGAAAAAACCCAAAGCCCTACTTCCAGCCCCACCCTATTTAAGTCTGTCCCCCCACCCACTTCCCTCCAGGACAGCTTCAGCCAGGAGACAAATGACTCCTCTTCTTGTCCTGTGCATGGAAGTCCCCCAGTTCCAAACAAGGAATGAACAGCCCATGTGCGAACATGCAGACATGGAGATGGAGAATGGGTTGGGGCAGAGAGCGCTGGTGCTTTGGGATGGGGTAGGGGGTGGCTAAGTCCGGAGAGAGGAGGTATCCTAGGCAGAAAGCACTATGTGTGTGTAGGGTGGTGGGGATGGGGAGGGTTTGGGGGGGTAGGTTGTGTAGCAGTAAGTAGGGGTGCAGGAGGGCGCTTGGCATCAGTGGGCCAGTGCGGAACATCTGAGGCTGGCCGTCTCCTTCTTCACGCTTCTGCCTCCTCCATGCCACTGTCCCTGATCAGGGCCCTCCAGTGAGACCCCTGCAGGAATTGGTTAAAGTCCCCAAAATGACAGCTCCACTCCCCCCGGCTGTGCTGGGCAGCCTCGGCCAGGATCAGCTCTGCTCCTTCATGCACCAGTTTTGACCCCTTCCACCCCATTCCCAATCTTGTATCTG